GTATTAGAACCAAATCAAATCATTTTAACAAAACTGTTGAATCACAGAATTTCAGAATTAGAATAAAACTTCAAAGATACTTTAGCGTAAACTCCTACCCAAAGTTTTTACTTGCTATATCTATTTTTATATCTAGCTGATTTAAGATATCTTATGGTAGAACTATTTTTAAAAGGTCACTGTTATAATCATCTATTCATTGAGTGTCTCTTCTGTAAAACAGAAGTCTGACCTACTTCTCTTTCACTGTCCTCAAAGGTCCCAGTTCCAATACCTGAATTAATCCAGAATAAATCTACTCTTCTTCCACTTAATAGTCCTCTCACATTCCCAAAGACATTTCCAAATCATCATGTCCTACAATTTATCTTTGTAGGCTCACCTCTCTGGGTCCTTCAATTGTCACAGGACATAGTTTCCTAATCTAATCTCCACTCCGTTATTCTGGCAGCCCCGCCCCCACCCCAGGCATATGCAAGGTCACGGACATCAGATAATGAGCTTGGGTGTGGTCTAACCAGGAAATCTGTGATTTTTGTTTGAATTGGATACTCTGCCTCCCTTAATAAGAGTCTAAATTTGAAAGCAGAATTCTTTTTGAGATGTGACATGCTTTTGGTACAACTGAAGTTGTGGTCATTTACCACCTCTGGGTCATTCCTCCCTTCTTATACATTGCCACACCTAAATGCAAACCTAACATTTATCACTATTAGGTTCCACCTATTTGTTTCAGCCTATTGCTCCAGCCTGAAACTTTTTAAGAATGTAATATATTATCCAGCATATTATTAGTTCTCCTTCCTCGCCTTCAGTCATTTGATAGGCTTGTTAAAAAAAAAAAAAAAAAACTTTCTTTATTGTGGTAAAATATATGTAAAAGTTACCCTTTTAACCACTCTTAAGTGTTTAAGTCTCCAAAACTTTTCATATCCCCAAACTGAAACTCTCACCCATTCAACAATAACTTTACCCCTTCCACCCAGCCCCTGGTAACTTTTCTTTTCTGTGTCCATGGATTTGACTATTCCAACGCATCATATAAGGAGAATCATATGATAGGACTGTTTTTTAAAAAAAATCTAAGACAAATATTGACTAGGGTAGACATGGCAAGCCTCTCAGGTGACATCTATTTTACTGTCACACAGAAGTCCAACGTATGAATTGTTTCATTTCCTGGTATTGAAAGGAAATAGGCTTCAAAAACCAAGCCAGGTTAGAAAGGGAAAGGGAGACAGTTCTGCTAAAATAATCCAACTATGCAAATCTGAGGGGATTCTCTGCTCTCATAAGAAAGCATGAAGAAGCAACCACAGGGCCAGGAAGGAAGAGCTAGCCTTGAACTCCACCTAAACCCAAACAAAGGGCGGTCTTAAGGAGATTTGTTATGTTCATGAAATAGGGGGAAATGGTCACATCAAATATTAAAGTTTTAATATTTTAATAAAAATTAAATTCCAAAATCCAAACTCATATATTATATGTGTGTAGGTCTATACATATTTGCACACACATAGAACATAGTTTTTTAAGTAGCCACTTAACATTTTTACCACGACTAATCCCTCCATTAGTAGTAAGAGTTATAAACTAACTGTAAAACTGTGGTTGCCTATAGATTTGAATAACTATACAAATACTAACAAAAATCTAAATCATACAGACCTTACTACTGAATCTTGCTTTAGCAAGCTATATTGGATGGCTGTTTTATTACTTACCTCATCAACAAAAGTATTCAGTTTTTGAAAGTTTATTATCTTTTGAAATGTTGCTCTAACAGCTATGATAGTTACCTAAAATTTTTAAGGCTCTCCTAACAGGAGAAAAGGAGGAAATACATTATTTATGTCTAACTGAGAACAGGCAACACTATTCAAGTCATCTTAAAATATTTTAACAGTTTAACACTGTTAATGATAAACTGTTAGTCAGTCATGGCATTTGTTTCATGGCACTGTTGTGGCAATTCTTTAGACTAAACCGGAAACCAGTATTTTTCTAATTCTTGTCTCCTGATGTAAATTACAACTTTTTATTATATCTGACATAACAAGTCTTTCATTTTTCAATACCACTTCATACATACTTGCTTGCAAAAATGTTTTTAAAATGTGGACACTGGAGTATAACACTAAACAAAAAAACAAATTCTCACCCTCAGGGTATCACACTGCACCTAATTCCCTTACATAAATTCACTGAGAATCTTGGAAACCAAATTCTCTTCCTAAATTGCAGCTGCGTGGTTTAATGATTAGGTTCCAAGGTAGAAGGTAGTGTAATAATTCAGAGGAATTGGGGAAAGTATGTATAGCAGTGCTTTTCTTTTCAAATTTACAAGTTTTCCAAGAGTATTCTAACTTTTATTTAAAAGTTGTGGTTTGATAGGGGGAATGAGGTGATTCACAAGAAACACAGAAGAAAATGAAAGCTACCAAGAGTATCCTGACTGAGTGAGGGAAAAGTAAATACTAAGAAAAAATCTGTAGGATTATCACCTTCTTATATAGAGAGAAGATTTCTTAAGCTCTACATTACTCCACCAGAGAATTTTCAAACTCCATTAAATATACTGAGAGAGATACAAAAAAAAAATCAAGATGTTATATAACCTATTTAATAACCTATATTTAAAAGGATCTTACTTTTCAACTATTCAGTAGAGCATACATTTAAAACCTACAGATAACTCATCTCTATTTTTCATTTTAAGTTTTATTTAGTTACAATCAGACAGTCTTTTGGGGTGTCTGGTTGGCTCAATCGGAAAAGCATGTGACTCTTGATTTCAGGGTTGTAAATAAGTTCAAGTGGAGAGAGAACTTAAATAAACTTTAAAAAAAAGAAAATTTTTGAAGAAAAGAAGTTACTACAAATAGCTTAATTAGTTGTATGCATATCAAGTCAAAGTGCTTTCCAAACCCCAATTATCAACATATAAGTGAGGAAATTCATAAAAGTTTATGTTAAATAATAATAGTAGTTGTTACTATTATTATTTTGTTAGCCTTACTTAAATTGCACAAAGTGACCTGGGATTCACTGCTTGGAACAAAAATTTTTCTAGAGTTGAACTGGAAATGTAGAATCCATAAATGACAAAGGATCACTAACTACATCTATAAGCATTTATTATTTTCTAGGTTTTTTTTTTGTTTCCCTCTAAATAGTTTCACTTAGATAATTATAATTAGATAAATTTACCTCATATCATTTATTTCATACAACAGGACATAGGAAGAAACCAAAAAAGCAATCATCTCTAGAAAATACAGCAGTTAATTTTTTTATCAACTAAATAAAGTTAATTTCTTTCAAAAAAATCCAGTATGCACCTTGATTTTTTTCTATAAAAGCATAAAAGTCCAAAGAGAAAACAGTATTTATCCCACATATAACACTCAATCTGCCAATCCATGCACAGCCAGCCCTTTGGCAAGCCTGTAATTCAAGGGCTGAGAGAGAACGGCAGCTCATCATATTCACATTTACAAGTTCACATTAAGTGACCTGTTATCTTTCATCAACTTATATTCTTTTCACAGCACAATGGTTATTTGTGACGCATGTTCAGAGAACATACTTCTATACTGCAGTATGATACTAAACTTACATGGGCACCCACACATTCTTCCCAGATTTAATCAGTATTTTGTTAGTCAGCTTTCATGTTTTTTAAGCAAGTGTTTAGGAAACAAGTGCTTGTACACCAAATATTTAAGAACTGTAAAAGGTAAAAATCTATATTTTATAACTACTTATAATCTATTAAAATCTAAAAAGAAGACAAACAGTAGGAAATGCCACTAAAAATAGCCTATTGGTTCAGAAAAATAAAGGATATCTTTTGGATATACATAAAGCACTTGTTTATAGCATTAAAACCAGCATAGTTTTTAAGACATTTATGTTAATGATTTAGATTTATGACTTCAAATGGGTGATATAGTCATGGAAGGCCAATAATATAAGGACTTTAGTAAAACCAAATAAGAAAAAGTCAGTGGTTATATTTAAGTTTTAAAAAGTAGAAAACATGGAGTTGGTATACCATAACTATTACATAAAATTTAGATTATCCTAGGGGCATCTCGGTGGCTTAGTTAGTAAAGTGGCTGACTCTTGATTTTAGCTCAGGTCATGATCTCGGGGTTATGAGACTGAGCCCCAGGTCGGGCTCCACACTCAGTGTGGAGCCTACTTAAGATTCTCCCCCTCTCTCTGGCCCTGCTTGCTCCTGCTCTCTCTCTTGTGCCCATGCATACACATGTGCTTGCACATTCTCTTTCTAAAAAAAATAAAATTTATGTTATTCTATTTTACATGTATCTGTTATTTCCAAATATCTATTTGGGGCTTGTTGGCATATCTAGGTTTAAAAATAATTGATTATGGAGAAACCTAACAAACATACAAGGGATATAAACTTGCTAATTTACAAAGGTATAATGCAGGAAAATAATTTTAGATATAAAACAATATGCATTACTGCCTGAAACATTCTGTTGAGTAGTACCCTCTATTAGTTCAGTCTTAGAACTCTGATGAAGTATCTGTGCAAGACTCTCCCAAATGCTCCAGTCTACTTCAATGTAATTACATATATACATGTAATTGTACAATAATTAAACAGAAAAGAATTATAGTAACTGGTTATATAAGAATCTATTCCTAACTCTGGCTGTTAGTCATAAACGCATCTAGAAAGACAGGCAGATATCAAAAGCTACGAAATCCTAAATGGTTTAAGTGAAAATTTAAGAAACTAGGGTCATCTGCCTTAAATTTTATAAATCCAAACAGACATACTAATACAAGCACACAAGTAATTATTTTTGTTAATAAAAAGATGACATATCACAAGGGTGATCCCTGAATGCATCTGGAGTTGGTCTTTATAAACTGAAAATTGTATGCTTTAATGTCTGTTCACCTTTAAGTCATCATTCCCAATCTTGTCTACTTGTCAGACTACTGTAAATTCTGGCACTCACCAGTACATAGTAGTATGCATACAGCGCTGCACAATGGTGAATTATAAAATATTTGTCACCAATCACTTTCCAATACAAAATGAGAATCAACAAATCTGAAAAAAGGAAAAATAAGTGAGATATTACATAGGAAGAAAGCTGTTTTGTTTTTCAAGTGTATTTAACTTTCTTCCTTAAGGAGAAGACTACTTCACTAGTCTAATTACCCATGTTATTGTAAGGTATCGCTTCCACACAACTGTTTCCCCAACTCTACTGTGACTACCCCCAGATGAAGACCAAGTCAGGGAATCTAGCACAGTGCTGACCACACAGGTAATATATTTGTTGAAAGTATAAATGAATAACTTGTTTCCAGGGTTACATAAAACAGAAATGTTATTGAAAAAGATAATTTTTAAATAAGCTTAAATTACTGATGTTTGCTACTATAACAATTCAGACAGATAAGATGGCTGCAGAAAAGGTACAAAATGACAACTCATTTATGACACAAATTCAACAAACAATATTTAAAAATTAACAAAGGATGTAATTAAATATTCATTCAAAATAGAAAAAAAAAAACTAAACCAATTCAAAAGATATACAAAGAGGTCAAGGCATCAATTTCTCTTTAAAAGATCCTAAATCTAAGCACCATGATTCAGAAAATAGTTTCCCTTAACAAAACAGAATGTTTAATGAAACAAAAACTTCTCAAAATGTTAACACAACTATTTTCTTTCCCAAATGGTTAAATGTGAAATTTAGACATGGAAGCAAATGGCTATCATGGATGGAAACCAGGGGAGGATTCAGCATTTATGGGGTTGGAGCTAATATATAATATTGGAATCTTCTTTTATACACTAAAAAAAAAAAAAAGAAAATTACTGATACAAAACTAGATGTCAATATTTATTTTAAGAAAAAGTAATCAGATTACAAATTTTAAAGAGAAAGCAAATAGTACAAATATGAAAATCAAGAAAAGATAACAGTACTAGAACTGACTGCATGACAGACCTGCAAAGATACATTTTCCACTACATATTTTGGCTGTACACTCTTTGGTCACCAATTTCTATGATAATGACCTTGTCACATTTTCCACAGACAGAATAAAAAGAATTCACTTTCATTCAGCTTGGTTTAGAAAAGCTGGTTTCAGTTCATAATTCTTATTTTTAAATGCTTCAGATTATGATCTTATTTGAGGAAAACTTTATCAAGTTTCTTTTATACAAGACCTTCTGGGGGAACCTGGTTAGCTTAGTGGTTGAGCGTCTGCCTTTGGCTTTGGTCGTGATCCTGGGGTCCTGGGATTGAGTCCTGCAGCAGGCTCCCCGTTTTTCCCTCTGCTCGTGTCTCTGCCTCTCTCTGTGTGTCTCTCATGAGTAAATAAATAAAATATTAAAAAAAAAAAAAGACTTTCTGGGTGACTACTCTCTGAATGGACAACACTCATTAAGCAGGGCATGGGATGTACTATAAATGTTGTGTCATCCTTGTCAATGACGGTATTTTTTGCTAAACAAACATTCTCACTTAGTTTCCCCTCTGTCTCTTGTTTAAAAGGTTATTCCAATCCCATCCCACAAGAGGAGAAATATGACAGAGGGAAACATGGAGCAGAAAGAGTCCATGATCTTAATGGATTATGACTAAAATAGTTTTCCTTTGTGAAGTTTCCCCAGACAATACAAAACCACAAGCATAGGAACGCATTTCAAGTGTCCTTGCAAGTGAAAAAGACCTTCATGCTTAAACTTCATTTGCTTCCACCCATTCCACCTGAGAGACCCTTTAGGCCAAAAATGGACCATTGCTAGTAAAAAAAAATATATCTTGGCCTGAGACCCCACTCATAGCTCTATCTTCAAAGAGAACCAGAGAGCCAACAAGAAAAATGTTTCATGTTCTACCATCACAGCAGATATTTTTTCCCTCTATATGGGTCCCACAAGCAGCTTCTCAAATAAATAAACCAAAAGCACAGACTATGTATTCTTTGCAAAATCCCATGAGTAGTTTATTTTTTTTAATTTTTTTTTCTTTTTTTGGTATATATTTTTATTGGAGTTCGATCTGCCAAAATATAGTATAACACCCAGTGCTCATCCCATCAAGTGCCCCCCTCAGTGCCCATCACCCAGTCACCCCAACCCCCTGCCCACCTCCCCTTATTCATATCCCAGAGTTAGGAGTCTTTCATGCTTTGTCACCCTCTCTGATTTTTCCCATTCATTTTCTCTCTTTTCCCTTTTAATCCCTTTCAGTATTTTTTATATTCCATGAGTAGTTTAAAAAGAAATAGTGACCAACATATCACATACCAGAAATGAGGTAGCCTGTAGCAATAGAGATATTCACTTTCACAAGCGATGAATCACCCCTATAAATATTTAAAAAAAAAAAAAAGAGTTTCCTTTTTTTAGCACATGGGTTATAGATGACAGCTACATTTTTTTAAATTGAGAAATAGAATTAAAATGCTTCCTATAGATTCTTGAATGGTAAATTGTCATTTGTACCAGGCCCTATGTTAGCTATAATATACTTCTAACTACACAAATAATCATAATTTCTTATATTAGCTAAAAGTTTTATATAAATAGTTTTACCAAAAGACAACTTCATATAAATGTGTTCTCATATGATTTGTTTTCTGAAAGGATTCAAACAGATTTCCAGATGCTGGATTTTTGTATTTTGGGGTGGTTTTTTTTTTTTTATTCGTTATTCTAAATCAGAGACTCAAATACCTCAAGAAGTCATCTAGCCTGCCTGATTAAGGCAATCAATACACTATGATTAGTATCACTCTACTGATGACTGGAGAGATCTGCCTATTATCACACAACTGGGAAATGGTCAGAACAGGACAGTTTAATTCTGCTGTTTCAAAACCTATACATATCAAGATCCTACAATTTGCTCTAATAATTGTCTTTACTCCAAGAAACAAATATGAACTATTAGCCTTTTATCTGGTTTATAAGGTGAACTACTGGTGAAATGAACACAAAATTAAACTGATAACAGCTAAACTGCAAATGGAAATGTTTAGCAGAAGTCCCGTCTTCTTTATAAATTTTGACCTGCAAATATAACCCAGGAAAATTGAACCTGGAATAAATTGCAGCATCAAAGAAAAGTAAAAAGTCTGATAAGGACAAGAATTGGTCACTGAATCAAATCTTTGTCATAAAATTTACCTCCCAAAAGAACTGGTTCTGTTGACAATCATTTACTACAATAAAATTAGGAGGAAAAAACTTAGAAACAGTTTAGGTAGATTACATGAAAACCTTATGGAATTAAATTCACTAAATTGATTCACTTTGAAAAATACTTTTCTGAAGAGAATTTATCAATACTGATTGAATTCTGATGAGCATAATTCCATATTTATTAAAATGATATTGTTGCAAACAAATAACCAAAAATTAAATTGTCCCACATCCCCCAGAGCCCTCATCTACTACATCCCCATGCAGTGCTTTCTCAAAACATACCTCACCTCTCAAACAGCGAAACTAAGCCTTCTCATATAATGCCAGGAAATACAGTTTGCAATATCTCTGCCATTGGAATGACATTTACATTTTTCAAAAAGAGTCAGCTTAGAAATTATCCTATTATTGCTGAACATAGTTATTATTAGTACTTCAAATCTCCTCACGTGGTACTAACTTCGTCTTCATCTATAATCCTCATTTTTATACCTTTGATATCAAATGATGGGTTAAACACAAGACTGAGTCTTAAGTAGATTATTATCCACATTGACTATCCTATCTCAATAGTAACTCATTTTTGCTCAAAACAGTGGTTACAACATATTGGTTTTACTCACTAACTCAGTATAGATGTTTACATCGTCATCATATTCTCCCTGTTTTGGATAATAATTGTGATACTCGTACAAAGTGGCCCTCATTATTTGTGTTCAACTCTAAAATCCTTTTATTGCATCTTGCTAAAATAAGCCTGAACACAAGCATTTTAATAAACCATGCACCATCAATATGTTTTCCATTTTAAAGTAGGAGATGTTCTTATTAATTATTAATATCAAAACATAAAATCAATTTGACTATATTGGAAAGAAAGCTTACCAGAGTGGATCAGCCATTGTAGCCTCATCAAAAAAGAAAAGGTACAGGCCAAAAAGCCCAACCACCAAAGAATGGCATGTAGATACTACCCTGAAATGAAACAAAATATAAAGATTTTAGGTTCTTTGCAAGAAACTGTAATTCTAGCGAGACATTTAACATTTTGAAGAAGTTAAATCTGGAAGCATTTAAATATAGGAATGGAGTACATCTAAGAGTATGATATAAAATTGCCATTTAGAAATCCAAGGGCTATGACTTTACTTTGGAATTAATAACGAGAAGGATGCCCAGGTCTACAATTTCCCGCAAAAAAATTGTGGAATCACTTATTGGTTAAATATTCCAAAGCAGGAGTGCCAGGGTAGCTCAGTCAGTTGGCATCAGACTCTTGATTTCAGCCTAGGTCTTGATCTCAGGGTCATAAGTTCAAACCCTGTGATGGGCTCCGCATTGGGTGTGGAGCCTACTAAGAGAGAAAGGGGGAGGAGGGGGGGGAGGGAGAGAGAGAGAGAGAGAGGGAGCAGAGCCTATCTAATGATGAGGTTGACAAAATTTTGTACAGAGAGCACCTGGTAAGTCCACTACCCTGCAACCTGCTCCAAGCCCCAACCCTAACAACATCACTGCAGCAGTAGTTTCCTGTTCCAAACAGTTAGGAATAATTTCTAAATCTACTGACCTTCACCAATTCTATATTCTTGAATCGGAATTCGAATGGATCGTGAAATGAAAATTTATTGCCTTGGAGATTTCAGTGTTAAATGCACATTCACATGCACTGCTGCACTTGATTCCTATAACCAATCCATGAGAAAGCTAGAATAGCTATTATTAGTCTCTTTTTATTATTATGAAACCAATTCTAAGTAGAAAAATTGAGGACCATGAATTTATACAGAAAATCTATTTTTAAAAGAAACACTTGAGTGAAACCAAAATGTTCACGAGATCCGGGCTGAATTTTCTTTTATAGAAGGAATAAGGTTTAGATGAAAAACATCAGTTTCTACGAACATATCTTGCTAATAATTTAATGATTCAACCAACACCCAAGCTCTAGGATACACTACACTTAAAGAAGTGTACATAGGATACAGTATATTTATTCACACAATGAAAAAGTTTACAACTAATTAAGTTTCTTTTTTCTTCATTAGAATAAAGGATAAAAGGAACAGCAAAATTTTCTCTCTAGAAATTAATGGGATATCATAAATTTCTGTCTAAAATATGACCCCAAATCTTTAACACTGACACATATCAACTAATATGAAGCTTGATATTAGAAAGTCTTATTGTAACTTGAAAAATCAATATGCTTGATGTAATAGTGTAGGTCTAAATAGATATACCATGTTACATCATATTTAAAATGCTCAAATATCCTAATTATTTATTTTTTTTAAAGATTTTATTTATTTATTCATAGAGACAGAGAGACAGACAGAGAGAGAGAGAGAGGCAGAGGGAGAAGCAGGCTCCATGCAGGGAGCCTGATGTGGGACTCGATCCCGGGTCTCCAGGATCACACCCCAGGGTGCAGGCGGCACCAAACTGCTGCACCACCCGGGCTGCCCCATCCTCACTAATTTAAAGGCATTGACAAAGAATACTTTGTAACACCAAAAGATCATTTCGAAGTGTGAATAAACCAATTTATCTGGTTTACAAGTCTGGAAATTTCATGCCAAAGGTATCTATACAAATACAGCAGTTTAAGGATGTAAGTTCCTTTGCGGCAAACAAAACTCTCCATCTAAATAATCATACAATCAGCTTTCTATTGCCATTCAAAAATTCTATGACACCAGAAAGCACAACCTCTCACTAACTTATTTTAGTGTTTAATAAACTTACACCAGAAAGTTTCCCCTTGGAAAAATGCAAACATTTTGTTCCTGATACTCAACCCTCAAATTCCCTTTTGTGTTGAAATGTTACATGATAAGTGGGAAGAATTACAAGCCCTAGCTGATGGAAATGGTATTAATTCATGAGAGAAAAGTTAAATCTTATTTGGATCAAATAAGCTCCTACTGTAATGAGCAGGAAAAAAAAAAACCCTATGTTTACATACTCCTCTGCATTAAAAGTCTATGCATTCAGAAACTTCTGTTTAGCAAACATTTCACAATCTATTCTTTATTTTTTTTCTTTATTTTTTTTTTACAATCTATTCTTTAAAATCAGACTCTTGGCAAAGCAAAATGTAGGTTCTCACAGTCTAAAATGAAACACCAAGATGCCCAAAAGAAAATACTTTTTTTTTCCCAAAGGGGTTAAAAATAAATGTTTGTGCTAATAAAAAGACAGGGAAATAATGGAAATAATGACCATTGTAGAACAGCAATTTAAAGTTACTGATTAGATCATTTGCAATTGGTAGGAGTATTGCCAACAGAAATTATAAAGCTCAAACAGACAAGAGTTAAAAATTAGAGAAGCGGATTTTAAAATTAGGAGTATTTCGACACAATAGGACTTTCCATACCATAGGAAAAGAAGTGTATATAAGAAAATGTTTTTTAATTATAAGATATAAATAATACCTCTATAAGTATGTTTTTTTCTGAAAAAGCAACAATTAAATACAGCAATTTATCACTTAAACTGTCATCTCTCAGGTGTGAATTTTCTAGTGAGTTGTTTTTCCTCCTGTCCTTTTTTCTTCTGTAGGGCTTAGACCGCTCATTATTCAGAGATTCTTTCCTGATTATTAGTAAGAATTACGTGGGTTGTGTTGATCTGGGTGTTTCAAGACTGGAAGCTGATTTCAAGACCCATATATTTACTTTACTCAAAAAACAGTCAATCTTTTTTCTTTCTTTACATTCTACCTCACAGTTTCAGTCTCATGTAAACCAAGCTGGAGTGGAAACAAGAGAACATTTGAAAGACAAAGAGAGAACACCATTTGAATAGGGTAACGTATCTTCTGTAATCCCAGACTCCTTTTTCAAATAGGAACTCAGTTTCCCAAATGGTGATTCTGCACACCACAGAATGGCAGTGATTAGACTGAATAATGCAAAGCATTTTTCAATTTCATTTCATTTTCATCTTTCCCTCTATCTCTCTGTACTATCCCTATTTCGTGGGCTCCCTGCTCTCCAAGATTCAGTTGCCCTTACCTACCCTAACCATGGTGAAAAGGAAATGAAAATAGCTCAAAATTTATTCTCAGAAAATTGGTCTCCCATCCCACTCCTCAACCCTTCCTTCTCTTTCCCTATTCTACCTATCTCCATGTTAGAAAGGGTTTTTGAAAATAATGGTTAGTATCTTTTGTATCCCGCTTGTGCAAAACATCTTTGTGCTATTAAGACAAAAAAACACATACTTATTTTTCAAAACTACACAGAGAAATAGTTTTCATTTTTTGGGTAAAAAGAGCTATAGCATGTATGAACTGGACAAATCAGTTAAGGTACAAAAGGAAACAACTGCGGTCTTATTCACAGTCTTAAGTTATAAGAGTGGATACCTACAAACCAATTTGGCTCAAATAGAGGGGATTTCCAGTCAAATATGACCATTCTCAAAAAAATACTTAGACTTTGGCAGAAGTTAATTCTAAAAGGAAATTTCGATGAAAAATAATTATAGCAAGTTTAGAGACCTGCTGAATTTATTTTATAGTTAGCATTAACTTCAAGTAAACAACAAATATACTGATAGCTGCTCCAATTCACCGTAGTTTGCAAATACTTAGTGATGTGTGGGTGAAATGTTCTCAAGCACATGAAGCAGTCATCAGAGTCATTTTGTGTTTGAAATGTTGTGTGAAAGGTTAACGAGTTGCACACACAAAATATCCATAAGCCAACTAATTAAAACTCTGCAGATTTCTATACCCTAAACAAGTACTACTCATTTTCCTTTTTTTTGGGGGGGGGAGGGTCTTAAATAAAATCTAAAAAGTGTATTTTACTTTAACAAAAGAATAGATTCTGGTGGGCTGAATTATAATAAAAAGTTCATTAAAAGAGAGACAGGTATGTTAACCATTTACCACACTCTTTGGTGTACAGCATTTAACTGCCTTCAGTCTGGCTAAACCAGACAACACTATATATAGGCTACTCACAGCCCCAGCCAACAGTAACTTCTGTGATCACTTCCAGAGAGCATGTGTTTGTTATCATAAACGTTTCAGAGAATGTAAAACAGGACTCTTCTGAAGTCAGCTGGAATCTACTTAAATGTTCCCACGCTTCCCCAGAAACTTCAATTTTTCCTAACATCTTTCAATAGAAGAATTTTTAGAATTTTCTTGTATGAGATCTATCTACTTACTTTCCTTTTCCTCCTAAGGTCAGATAAAAAAATCTGACCTTAAATTTTGTTAGATCTTAAATGAACAATTTTTTGGAAATATTTTAGATAATTTTATTTCATAAAACTAACTTTCAAAAATCAGTTACATTTTCATATGCTTTACCTGGAGTTCCATTCAATCTTCTTCTCAAAGCTGAGACTAACAAAACCTGGAGAAACTTTTGCTGAAAACCAGAAACTTATAAAGTAGAAAAGAAGCTGAAAGGTGAAAAAGCTGGTAAAAACAGTGCTGGAGACCACTTTGGTGTTGGTGTCCATATTTCTTCAAGCTGTTAAGAAAAAAAAGATAGCTGTCAGTTGCTTTAAATTGCTCATAATAAATCTAATTTTATTTTAAAAGAGTTATGTGCTTACATTTTTAATATTTTAACTTGCACAAATACCAGAATACAAGGAAACTAAAAGACTTTTAAGTCTTTATCAGCTATTTGTCACGTATTTTGTATTTATATTTAAAGAAAAGGGAAAATTATCTTAAATATCTCACTCTTGTCAATTTTAGAAGGCAAATTTGACAGTATGATTTCCAAAATTATCTCAGTCTTAGAGTTTAAGAGGCATTTCAAGTACTATAACTGAAGGTATTCTTTTAGTAATATTTTTAATTAAACTTAGGAAGAATCACCTGATTTCTCTATGCCTCAACTTCCTCATCTATATGAGTTCATTAGATAATTTCTAAGAAACAATTAGGCCAAGAATCCTAATAAAACCAAGATTATCTGCAACAGCAAAACAAAAATAATTATATTATAAAAATTGTACAGTGAGACAAATGACATTTAAAACAAAATTAAAATGTTAAGAAGAATACTATCTTAGAAAAAAGAACTATACCACTGTTGCTGCTTAAATTAGAATTTAACTTATAAGAAGTATTCTGCAATCACACACATCTTTGAACCAAAAATAGCCCATGGCTTTTTATCTCTAAGATTTTTATAAAAGAACTTCAGGTTTTAATGGTAGAGTTAGTAGAAAGAATAGTAATATGCATATATACACATTCAAAGTATGTTTTCCATCTCACTGAACTGAACTGTATTTGGATCCTAAAAATCTTCGGAACATTCAGACCAAAAGAAAGACACTAAAGCATTTGCTCATATTCAGCAAATACAGCATTTCTAGAAATGGCTCCATCTTTGAGAGAGCTGACCCTCAAATGAAAAGGAAATGAATCAATACATATTTCCAGCTGCCTCATGTGAAGAAATAAAGTCACCTACTGAAGCCAATTCACTAGAGAAAAGCCAAGTCATTGACTGTACTAGCAATAACCCCACTTCATTCCCTTCCAACCAGGACCTCATAATAAGAATCAGGCTCCCACAGGGCCCCTTCTGACAGAACTCATGTGTCTGTAATGAGTTCTTTCCCCATTCTTTCTTTCTGATGTGTGTGCTCAGTAAAAATATTGATATTACAATTCTTCTCCCTGAGATTCCATTAACCTTATTGTTCATTTACTTTTTTTACAATTCAACATGTGTTTTAGGGTATTAAAATTTTAATTTGTGATCTTTTAACCTAGGTTTAATATTAACCAAATAACACATAAAAGTTTTGTACATAAATTAAACATCATTATAATTCACTAAGTGAGATGTAATAGGGAAAATGGTTTTCTAAGATTAAAGTAAATGGGGATCTGGAGGCCAGGTGGGCAGATAAATATTAAAAAATGAAACCAGTAACCAGAAAAGAGTGGAGAGTTTAAGCTTCATTGTGAGGATAGCTTGCCCTGAAGGATTCTGTATGTTCCCTGTTAGTCCTGGTGGGTGGCTGGACATAAGCTACTCATTTACTTTTGTTAAAATTCAACTATATAATGAGCATTTGTTTCATTAATGATTTCTTTTTTTTTTTCAAGATGCAACTTTTTTTTTTTTTTAAGATTTATTTATTTATTCAGAGAGAAAGAAAGAGAGGCAGAGAGGCAGAGAGAGAAGCAGGCTCCATGCAGGGAGCCAGACGTGGGACTCAATCTCAGGTCTCCAGGATCACACCCCAGGCCGCAGGTGGTGCTAAACCGCTGCACCACTGGGGCTGCTCTCATTAATGATTTCTAAAGTTATATTATAAAACATAGTAGGTATCACACAATATTATCCATTTTATGAACTATTACCCAGCATGTTAACAAAAAAATACTTGAACAACTCACCATTAAAGACATTCCTCATTCCTACTGGAAGAACAAACATTATTAAAATGTCTATCCTACCCAAAGCAATCTGCACATTTCATGCAATCCCTATCAAAATACCACCAGTATTTTTCACAGAGCTAGAACAAATAATCCTAAAATGTGTATGGAACCACAAAAGACCCCAAATTCCCAAAGCAACCCTCAAAAAGAAAAGCAAAGCTGGAGGCATCACAATTCCAGACTTCAACTTATATTACAAAGCTGTAGTCATCAAGACAATATGGTACTGACACAAAAACAGACACATAGATCAGTGAAACATAACAGAAAACCCAGAAATGGACCCACAACTATATGGTCAACTAATCTTCAATGAAGCAGGAAATAATATCCAATGGAAAAAGGACAGTTTCTTCAACAAATGGTGTTGGGAAAACTGGACAGCAACATGCAGAACAATGAAACTGGACCACTTTCTTACACCATACACAAAAATAAATTCAAAATGGACAAAAGACCTAAATGTGAGATAGGAAACCATCAAAATCCTAGAGAACACAGGCAGCACTCTCTTTGATTTGGCTATAGCAACTTCTTACTAGACACATTGCCAGAGGCAAGGGAAACAAAAGCAATAATGAACTACTCAGACTTCATTGAGATAAAAAGCTTCTGCACAGTGAAGGAAACAATCAACAAAACTAAAAGGCAGCCTATGGAATGGGAGAACATATTTGCAAGTGACTTATATGATAAAAGGTTATTATCCAAAATCTATAAAGAACTTACCAAAACAACACCCCAAAAACAACCCATTTAAGAAATGGGCAGACATAAATAGACATTTTTCCAAAGAAGTCATACAGATGGCTAACAGACACATAAAAAGATGCTCAACATCAGTAAGCATCAAGGAAATACAAATCAAAATCATGAGATACCACCTCATCCCTATCAAAATTAACTGATAACTAAAATTAACAGCACAAGAAACAATAGATGTTGGTGAGGATGCAGAGAAAGGGGAACCCTCTTACACTACTAATGGGAATGCAGACTGGGGCAGCCACTCTGGAAAACAGTATGGAGGTTCCTCAAAAAGTTAAAAATAGAATTATGCCATGATCCAGCAATTGCACTACTGAGGATTAACCCAAAGAATACAAAAATACTGATTCAGAGGGGCACATGCACCCTGATATTTATAGCAGCATTATCAACAATAGCCAAATTATGGAAAGAGTCTAAACATCCATTGACTAATGTATGGATAAAAAAGAGGTGTTATACCATTTGCTTCAACGTGGATGGAACTGGAGGGTATTATGCTGAGTGAAGTAAGTCAATCAGAGAAGGACAAACAGTGTATGTTCTCATTCATTTGGGGAATATAAATAATAGTGAAAGGGAATATAAGGGAAGGGAGAAGAAATGTGTGGGAAATATCAGAAAGGGAGACAGAACATAAAGACTCCTAATTCTGGGAAATGAACTAGGGGTGGTGGAAGGGGAGGAGGGCAGGGGGGTGGGGGTGAATGGGTAACGGGCACTGAGGGGGACACTTGACGGGATGAGCACTGGGTGTTATTCTGTATGTTGGTAAATTGAACACCAATAAAAACTAATGTATTAAAAAAAAGAGGTGTTATAGACACAACCCCCCCCACACACACACACAATGGAATATTACTCAGGCATCAAAGGAATGAAATCTTGCCATTTGTAATGATGTGGTTGGAGCTATACTGTAGGATATTAAGCAAAATAAGTCAGTCAGAGAAAGACAAATACCATATGATTTCACTCATATATAGAATTTAGGAAACAAAACAATTAACACACGGGAAGGGAAAAGAAAGAGAGGGAAGCAAACCATAAGAGACTTTTTTTTAAAAAAAGATTTTATTTATTTGAGAGAGAGAACACAAGCAAGGAGAAGGGCAGAAGGAGAAGTAGGCTCCCTGCTGAGCAGGGAACCCAATGCAGAGCTCAATGTGGAGCTCATTCCCAGGATCCTGAGATCATGACCTGAGCCAAAGGCAGATGCTAACCAACTGAGCCACCTAGGCATCCCACCATAAGAGACTCTTAACGATAGAGAACAAACTCTGGGTTGATGGAGGGAAGTAGATGAAGAAGGACTAAATGGTGATGTACTTGTGATGCACACTGGGTGTTATCTGTAAGGGATGAAACACTAAATTCTACTCCTGAAACCAGTATTACACTATATGCTAAACTAGAATTTAAATAATAATTTAGAAGGAAAAAAAAGAAATTCCTCATTCCTAAAAGGCTACTTTTTGTTAAGTCTGGCTTATTTTTTATTTTTAACAGGTTCACTTTCACTTAACTGGGGTCTTTAGGGTACATGTTGAGTCTCCCTTTGCAAAAATGTTTCATTTAAAACTAAAGAGCTCCATATAGTCAGTGGAGCTGTGGCTTCTATTAAAGGCTCAACAGACAGAAGCTAATTAAATTGTTCTACTCCCAGCTTTGTTTCTTATTAAGCAGCTGCTTGCTTCATCAGTCATGCCAAATCAAGGACAAATCCAATGATTTTTTACAAATTTCCCCAGAAAATCAAGGCTTCCGGTAGAAAGCAAAGTGCCCCTTTCAGTCGTTGAATCAGACAAGAAAAGGGGGAAAATGGACAATGCTTATTACTGACCTAGATTAAGAATCTTGGAGGGGCACCTGGGTGGCTCAGTGGTTGAGCATCTGCCTTTGGCTCAGGTCATATGATCTGAAATAGACTTAAGAAATAACTCCTGCTATCCCATAAGGTTCTCTCTTGGTCTCTTATATGTAACATTTTTTACAGATATTTATATGGTACTCAATCTGCATATAATGCAGAGCTGGGAAAGATAGCTAATATAATGGGTTAACAGAATTAGTTTCTAAGTTATCTTCATAAGCTGAAATAGTGAATCCTAATCAGAAAGAAAAAGTATAATAGGAATACATTTTTTAAAGGCAATACCTAAGTACAAGATTTAGTATAATAGCTACATAACACACACACACACACACACAGTGGAAGCCTTAGCATTTTAAGTTACACAAATCAATGAGAGATAATGTAATGAAGATACGAAAAAAAAAAGTTCAGGCTCATTTATAGTCAGCATAAAAGTATACCTTTGGATCAAGACACTTATTCTCACTTTACTCTGAATTAATCACATATCATTGGGAACAAGATTACTTAGAAAAGACTCAAGAGCATTCTGCAAACATCTTCGGTGTCATGCGGAAAAGTGAAAGAAGGAACTGATTCTGCATTACTCAAAATGGCACAAATGGGCAAAAATTACAGGGAGGGAAGAGTTCAGCTTAATTTAAGGAAGAACCTTCTAACAATTTAGAAGTGCCCAAGTATCCATCACGGAGGTGGTAAAAGGACCTCAAGGAGGTGGACCTGAGGCTTTGAGAGCACTCTCAAAGATTCTCTAATTCTAGGACTAAACTGAACTTTGGTATCTAAAAAAAAAAAAAAAAAAAAAAAAAAAATTTGGGGATGTCTGGGTGGCTCAGTCAGTTAAGCACCTGCCTTGAGCTCAGGTC